TGAAGCAGGCAAAGATAAGCTTGCCCTTTAATTCATCTGCAAAGAGGCTGTGGTCTTTACTAGAAGAGTCTCAGCCAATGAAGGCAGGAGATGAGAGCTCTGAGAAGAGTCCTCAGGGAGGAAGTGTCCGAGTTCAAGTGCATGCTTTCCTTAGGCAGAGACAGACCGGAATCGACCTAAGCTCACACTGAGAAGTGGCTTTCAAAAAGAAAAAAAAAACTTCAGAATGTGCCTACTAATTTAAAAACATTTGTCACATAAATACGTCTTTTATTTCAGCTTTAAAAATACTCGATTGACTTTATTTTTGAAATAGCGAAACATTTGCATGGTTCCAAACTCGGAAAGTATAAAAAAAAATACACAGCACAAATTCTCCTTCATCTCGCCTGCAGTTGACTCATTCTGACTTCCTCAGTCCCAGGAAATCACCATTAATTGTTTCTTGTATATCTGACAGGGGTTTATGCTAAATATATTTTGGAAATTTTGTTTGGCTATTTTAATTTTTTTTTTTTTTTTAAGAATGAAGTGGAAACCATGCCTGTTTCCTTTATCTGATGACTGAGCTTGAATATTATAGGGAAAGCCCCCGGTTGGCACACCGCCCCCCACCAGGTGCCCCAGGTAGGGGAATGAAGGTCAGGTGGCGAGGAGGCCAGCCTGCTGGGTGCTAAGACGTCAATCTGACAGTAAAAATCACACGTTAGAGCCCAATTTTTACAATACCGACCCCCAACATATGGTTAAATGCTCCTAAAGCACAGAGAAAAATCTCCCCTGAAAAAAAATCGAGAAGTAGGTAATAGGGCGAGGCAAGGGTGACGGAAGTAGTTGTCTCCACAGGGAAAACCCTAAAAACACAATAAAGAAAATCGGTTATGACTGGGGAAGTTAGACATAGGTACTGGAGACTTTTTTGGGTCCAGAGGATGTTACTTTTTTTCTTTCCTGATGAACTTTCTCTGAGCTGAGCAAATGTTGAAAATGGAGAACAAGCTGCACGAGGCAGAGTATCCGTGAATGCTTCGGGAAGCTTCAGATTGATCGTGTTGACTAGTTAAACACTCCTATGTTCACAATTCTTTTATTTTTATTCGCTCTGGAATTAGACACACTTACACGTGCAGGTGTTTCTCAGTTTGAGTTGATGCGGTGACAAGTATTTATTGAGCACTTACTGTTCTCTCCGAGGTGTTGGGGACAGAGCTTTACAGACGGACGAGGCTCCAGCTCTCATGGAGCTTCTACTGAGACGAGGGCATCAGGAGTCGGGGCAGGTGTCCCTGGTGAGGTGACAGGTAGTTGAGGCCCGTCACGTGAAGGGCTGAGAGTGTTGCAGGGAGGAGGAATGGCCAGTGCGGATGCTCAGGGCTATAGCGTGGGGCTTGCTGGCATTTAAAAAAAAAATGGCGAGTGTGATGGGAACACAGCGAATGAATGAGACGAAGCTGGAAAGCCAGGAAGGAGACAAAAACAGGTGTATCCGTTCTTTTTTTTTTTTAACAATTTTTTTTTTTTTTTGCTTTTTTTTCCCACCTCACTAATTCTAGTAATCGTCTGTCACCATGTACACTTATCAAAATAGTATCGACTATCATTATCGATGTTATCTGTTCTTAAAAGACAGTTAAATCACTAAGGTTTTCCAGCTTTTCCCTTCGGGTCAGGTGACCTCATTCTCTAGCATGTGGTAGCATTTCTGCTGCCTAAAGAAGAAACAATCACTCTCTTTTCTGAACGCTTATAACAGCGTCGGTCACGTGATTGGCACTTGTCTAAAGTCACTCGTGTACATGTCTTCTCTCGGTCAGAGGACAGACTTTTTGAGGGCAGGACTCTTGCTCCTTAAGTGTCTACCACAGTCAGCCTTCACAGGTAGGAGGTGCTTGACAGATATGTGTTGACTCAAAAACACAAGTCAGAGATACGTTGCCGAATACTGTGTGGACAGATGGGTCACGTCTGTATGAGAGGTTGTCAGTGTGTTCTGAACTTTATGGCTCGATCTTTCTCTGTCCTCCTGTCACAGAAGAGGTGGCTCATGAACGCACCAGAAAAGGCGTCTCCTCAAGGTAAGCTCAGAAACTTTTGAACTTTCTTGAAACAGCTGGGATGATCGCGTCACCCTCCTGGGCATCTGGAGAGTCCCCTCTAATCAGGCCCTGCTTAGCCAGGAGCCGAGTACCAAAGAAAATATTCCTGTTTACTTCTGTGCTCACCGGAAGTCACGGTTATCTCCCCAGGTCTAGACCTGTTAGTTTGACGCCTCCTTGAAATTCCCTGCCTCGTTTAGTCTCAACAAATTGCAGGACTGGAATCCAAATGGACAGGATGGAGAACAGGAAGAGGTTTTAGGGTAGGCTGATCTTAGCATTAATTTTTGACGGATACGACAGTAGAGGTCCTAAGATCCCAGAGACCAGAACTTTTGCTGGTGTCTCTGTGCGTCCCCTTAACATACCCCTCATCGGTACAAACTCCCCGCAACACACCCCGTGGTGCAGCCTCAGACACGTTCCATCCTCTTTCAAGGTCCTGGCACGCATCTCACCCTCTGCCTGGGGACCACTGCATCCCACGCCCTCTCCCGACTTCATCCTATTGTTCCCGATGTGAAGCTGTCCTCAGCCTATCCCTCCTGCAGGCAGAGCCCGTCCCAACCCCCCTGGGAGCTGACAGCACTTGGTTCTTCATTTTCTCAGTTTTTTTTTTTTTTTTTCCTATAAAAATTATCTCCCTACCTACCCCAATGGACTGTGTGCTTCCTAAGGATGAAGATTTCTCTTATTCATCGGTAGATGATGAACTTACTCATTTTAACGAACTCGCGTTTAAGTTTTAAATAGAGTATAACAGGGCCGTGCCTCGAACCCTCTCCTTTCAAACCTAGATTTCAATAACGACAAAGTTTTAGGTATATTAGCTGTCTGCCACCCTGCCCAGCAAATCAGTCACACCTCTGTTGTGCAGATGACCGGACTTTGCTCTTCTGAATTAGCAGGCAGCCTTGAAAAGCAAGTGGCTCGTTTGTTGATTCAAACCAACAAAAGGACATCACCGTTTTGATTAACGTCTACCTTTGGACAGCTGGATGATGTTAATTCATGTCACCAAAAAGGTTGATTCCTTCAGCTGTCAACAAGCAGGGCAGAGACGGGGAGAGGTCATGGGTTTTCGAGTCTCAGTGTCTGGGTGTGGATCCTGGCTCCGTGCTGGCTGGGCAGTGCCATGTTGACTGTGGTCAAATGAGCAGGAAGTGACTGAGCTCCCAGCGTGTTGGAAGGGTGACATTAGAAAATTTATCTAAAGTACCAATTAGGTACCCGGCATATAGCAGCTCATTAAATCTGAGGGAGTAAACTGACAGCCTGAGGGCTGAATTTGCCCACCCTAACTTTTAAAATGTTGACTTTGAATGGCCCCTCAGAGCTCTCCAGTTTGTGCCGGGGCGGGCCCTATCCCAAACAAGCTCCGTGTTTCGTCCTCAGGGGTAGGCAATATTTATTACTCTTATTTTCCGGATGAAGAAAGTGAGACAAAAAAATATCTATTTGAGTATATTCTGTAGCTAAAAGCTTCTCGTGGGTCCCAAGGGAGCCAGTGCCTCTCGAGCTCATCCTACTAGAATCCAAATGAGGCACCTTCACATGAGCTGGTGTAGCAGAGTGGATACAAGTGTGGCCTCTGGAGCCAGGTTCCAATCCCAGGTCTGTCACGTGCTAGTTGTGTGACCTTGTGCAGGAGAAGAAGACCTTTCCCTTCTCCCCTTCTACATTCTTTGGCCGGCCTAATAATTAAACCGACATAAGACAGATTAACAGGAGAAAAGCATTGCATAGAAATATGAGACTCAAAGAAGTGACCAAAGCATGCAGCTTTTATATCTTTTAGACAAAGAAACTATACATTTGTGAATAATTGACAAAACAGAGGCGTTTGGGCTTGGGGCAGCGAATGAGTGGAGAAGTAACAAGGTTTGTTTATACAGCTTTCTCAGCCCTGGATTCCCGTCTCTGGTGATAAGGATGTCTCTACTTCCTGGTGCGGGGCGGGTACCTTTCTCGGGGAGAGTTATCTCCTGTTTTCAGGGGGAAAAAGGAGGGTCAGAGTGTCCTTTCCCGTCTCAAGGTCTGCGTTAGCTGCTGCAGACCCAGATGCCTTCAGGGAGAAGGGAGGTGGCAGAGGTATAAGAAGCAACATGTGGTTAGCGGGAGACAGGATGAGTAACAAAATACCTGTGGCTTGCAAGGAACTGGATGGTATGGGATTGTGTAAAAGTATCCAAATGAAACAGTTTTTAAAAACAGTGTTGACCAAATGGATTGGCTTGGCTCTAGTTTGTTTACTTGCTTGGTTTCTGGAGTTATCTGGGTCTGTTTTGTAGCTTACAACCTTGGAAGGCCCAAAAGAAGTCAGTTGTACACAAACTCACCCTTTCTAGGCACAATGAAGTTCTTTGTAAAATTGATACACCAGCAGGAAAAAACTGTGTTCTAAGCCCAGACGAGCCCCTCCAAGTTCTAGGTGCAAAAGTGTGGCGTTTCAGCCAAATCCTATCTTCTGCATTACATATGGTTTAAAAACAAACAAACAAACAAGCAAAAACCCAACTCCCCAGAGCGGCACCTCGCATACAGAAGACTCTCTTTTTATGTCTGTGCCTCTCTGCATAACCTTAGGCTGGGGAGACAGGGAATCGTGAGGTTCTGCAATTAGGTTTTATATCACCTGCAAATTTAGATGGCTATAACACCAACTAAGCACCACTCCAGATAATTCTACCAGGAATCCATTTTAAAAAGGCCTTGTTCTTATATAAACTTATATATAAAGCCAGTGGCCTGTTTCTGTGACATTTTAGGATTCACGGACAAGGAGGCATGGGGGTGGGCAGCGTAGTTGCAGAGGGGGCTCAGATTCTGGCACCTAAGACCTGTTTGTTGGACCAAGTGGGGAGGACAGGATGACAATAGACATTGATTCGAATAGGATTTAGGGGCATGGGAAACACTGGTAGGAGGCCCAAGCGGACCCTGGAGGTCTGAGCAGGGTGGAACACAGCCATATAGAATTCAGGTGGGTGACACTTCCGAGTCTAGGCAGGAAATAGGAAGCAAGCGCTCACATACCTGGATGCCTGGTGGTGACAAACAGGGTCTTAGCCACTGGCTTGGGTATCAGGCAAAGAAGGAGGGCTGCAGCTTCCATGGAGAACCAGGCCACCTACTATGGGACTGAGCTACATTCTATTTGCAATCCCCCCCATCCCACCAAGTAAGCATGTAATTGATGTCGCTATGGAAACGGCATTCACATACCAGAAATCTATTTTCCACCTGAATTTTTGTTTGACTGCTTTGTTTTGTTTTGTTTTTTGAAGGAGGTAAGACGTACCTGATTTTAGAGGTTTGTCGGAAATCAGGTCCTCAGCCCCACTGACATGGGGGAAGCCAGAAAAGCATCCCATCTCTGCCTTTCGCCAATCGAAAAGTATCACGAGCTTTCTGATAATTAAGAAAGTCATCACTACTAACTTGAACTACTTTCTCCAATAGGAAGAAATAAAGCTGAGCTCCCTGACACCAAGAACAGGGTGCAGTGATCAATTTTATAACAGTGGCAAAGAGGAATTATTCCTCCCGCTGACACTGTTTAAATATTTCTCACTGTGAAACTGCGTGTCTCGGTAACATCATCACTGCTGGGTTGAGATCTTCCCTATTTTGCAACTCGACTTTCAGAACGAGTATATTTAGGAACTATATTTATAAACATTCTAAATTTATGGCCAACAGGCTGGCAGGAAGACAGCTTCGTTCTCCTTCCCCCGACCCTCGTCACCATTACTTACCTTTCTTCTTAATTCAAAGAGCTAATCATAGTTTGTTCTTTACCTCTTTCATTTTTACTTCATCAGTCTCTTGCTAAGTTAGGGAGTTTTGACTCAGGTGACTCACCCGATATGTGTAAAAAGAAACAAAGCACCTTACATTTTGCTAAGTGCTTGGGACGTTGGATTACCTGGGTTACTTTAACTGTACAGAAGGAGGTTTCCTCCTATCCTGCTTAGAATTATCCAGATCAGCGCCCCGGTTTTCTGTTTCGGCAGTGGGGAATGGCTGTCCCCCCGCCCTTGGTGGAGGCTGCGGGCCAGTCCCTTCCAGCTTTTACGTAGGTCGCCTCCGCAGCGTCCCGCGCCTCCCCTGGCAGCCCCTCGCAGTTAGAGCTCGCGCAGGCGCGCAAGCGCTAGGACCCGGAGGGACGCGGAGCCGGGCCGGTTAGGGAGTTCCCGGGCGGACGCGCTCCAGGCGGTGGGGAGGTGTGCGCGGGGAGTGGGCGGGGCGGGGCGCGGCAGGACTGGGCGT